CTTTATTATTGTATAGTATTTAAATATATGCCTGAGAAACACATAATATTGCCCCTTTAAAGAGGAAATGTCATGCTTTTAAATTCTTATTTTTCACCTTTAAATACTTCAGTTGGGGTCTATATAAAGTGGAACTGCAATGCTTTGGACCAAATTCCTCATTCTTTGGCGTTTTTACATTGTGAGGCCCAGCTCTGGTTGTTTGCTTTGAGCAGACAGCCGCCTTGATGTGGGCGGGATCATCATATTAAAAACGCACAAGTTTTATTTTGTTTTATTTGCGGCACAATAATGGACTACACCAAACCTGCCGAACTCCTGATTTGTGAAAATGGCAAGCCGGCGTCCGTGACCTAGTTTAGCAGTTCTGCAGCAAATACTGTGGTGTTACTGTCCAAAAACGTGATGGAGAATAGAGAAAACTGAATATAATGAAAAATATGACCCAAACAGAATATGAAGATATCTACGCACAGCACCGGGAAAGACTAAATTCAAATTTACTGGCCTCCTAGGACTGAAAATATAGATTTAGCATGTTATATCCCCTTAACTGCATCAAAGCTTTTTGGGTGTTTTAATGTTTTAATTTAAAAATCAAATCTGGAGACTGATTTGCTTCCATAGGTCAGTTTGCTGACATCAGCAGCTAACACTGTGACCAACTGAGCTATGCAGAAAAAAAATGCTCCCACGTGCTAACAGATCAACCCTTCAGCTGCTTTTGCCGCACCAAACAAAAGCAATAAACGTCACAAAAGTTTTAATTAAGCTCACCGTTTTGTAAAATCTTTTAATAGAAGCTCCAATAAATTTTGTGTCAATTTTATTTTAATTTTATGCCAAAGTTTTGTTATTGCACTTCTTTAAAAACTAACAATCACTGTCTTTCTACAAGCTTGAGCTGAACTCTTTACCAATTATGAATGTTTACATTTTAACTCCCTAAACCAGTCTTTCACAGCAAAATATCCAGAATGCGTGTTTTTCTTTTTTGCAGATGTTACATTTTTGTTGCAAGAAATGTTCTCCACCGTCTGAACTGCTGACTCAGCACTGACACAAGAAACACAAGAACACAAGAAACTGGAAAGCACTTCTGCATCTTTTAAGGTGTCTGCATATCAAATCTTTTGGGATGTCTTTAAACAACGTGATTTTCATTTCCAAGTGATCATGAATCTGAATGTGGCACAGGCACTTAGAAATAAACTGATTTGTGAATTACACACCTGTTTTATGTTTAAATCTCTGAACTATTTTTTAAAAGTCAAAATGATTTACTAAAGCGATAAAGTTTTAAATGCAGCTAAATATAATTGCAAGATGGTCAATATCAACCTAACCACCTTTTTTACATTAAACTGAATAAAGTTTTAACATTCCTTGAAGCGTGTGCATGGGTTACAGCCGTGTTTGTGTTGGTTTTGTTGATTAGCTCTGGCAGCCATCTTGGATTAGTTTTAGTGGCACATCTAGTGATTTTTAACCTGAAAGTTTCATTAAAATCTGTCCAGTGGTTCATGAGATACTGTATTTTGCTAAAGGACAAAGTTGACTCCACAAATGTTAATGGCACCATTTTAAAAATGTTTAATGCAATCTTTTAGTGCTTAAAATCTGTGTTTGAGATCAGTTTTAGCTATCACCACACCCAATTTTAGCTCAGTATCTATAAAATTGACTGACTTGAAGCCATTTTGGTGTTTTTAACTTGGTCGGCTGTAGAAACCATTTTAAATTTAATCATCACTGAACATTAATCAGGTGTAGATGTATCTGATGAGTATTTTGTGCAGCTTTCTTTAAAATCCACCCACAGGTTCATGAGATACACAGACAAGCAGAAACAAAGCTCACATTCAGCCGTGGACAGTCATACATTTGTTAAAAACAACTCTTGGGCAGCCAAACTGATGCATTTTGCATGTTTGTTATGATTTACTGTCACGTGGAAACCCACAGCTTTCATGTCTCTCCATAAACCAATATTTGTTTCCACACTTGTGGTTTCATGCCTTCCTGAGTCAGCACATCCATCCAGGGTCTGCGCAACAGCGCCCCCAGCTGGATCCCTTTATGTACTACTTCAATTACCTGGGAGGTAAATCTAGAGTTGACCACAGCTCCATGGGTCTGATCGTTTGTCTTCAAGTGTTGAAACTTTAAAAGGAGCGTCAGTCTGTTCCACTTTTACATCAGCTTCTTTTTCTGACTGATGCTCCTTTTAAAGTTTCAACACTTGAAGTGAAGTGAGGTTGGTTAATTTACTCCTGTGACTTCATAGGATAACGACTCTGAGACAAACCAGCTTCTCAGCGCTCTGTGTGTTTTGTGTTTCAGATGTGAAGCAATAAGCAGCTGAGGTCTATGTTTAGGAATTTAGGGAGATTCCATGATGTTCCTAAGATGAGCGCAGGGTGGAGAATTTTTTTTGGGTGATAAAGGAGCAGGGGGTGCTGAGGTGGCTTTTTATCTTTGGGTAAATACAGTGTTGTACTTGCAAAAAGTGCAGTTTCCTTTTAGGTTTTCTGTTTCTGGCTTTTTAGGTTATTAAAAATGTTTCTATCACTGCTGCTGTGGCTGACAATCTGCTCCACACCATAAACGTTTAATATTTCCATTTAACATTTAATGCTTAGATTTAACATTTGTCTTTGATTGAACATTTAGAATTTAACATTTAATGCTTAGATTTAACATTT